CACAAGTAAAACAAACTGAGTATCAAGGGATACTCGAAACTACAAGTAAAACAAAACATAAAACAAATCCTTGAACCGAACGGACTGAACTCCAGTTCCGGTTACAGACCTGGTAAAACACCTGCTTCGCTTAGGGCTCCTCTCCATGGTCGGATCGGCTGGTACCCTACTACCACCTCCTCTCAAGCTGGCACCTTACTGCCACAATCGTCAAATGTCCCGGAGGACACACGGTCGCTGGCACGCCTGCCACACACCTCCTCTCCTCACTTCTCGGCCGCTGCCTTCAGGGTGGTTTCCCTTATACAGGTGATCATTGGCCCTTAGGGGTTCGGTTTGGATTACTGCCTTTACGTGTTTCGTCCTTGGGGTTGGGGTGTGTTCTTGGTTTACTGTTGGGTAGTTAGCTTTCTTTTGTCGCTTGGCGGTGGGGGTTATTGGGTGGAGCAGTTCACGGGCGGTATTTCGGGCGGAAGTAGTTTTTTATACCCCAGAGTGTTTTTTTAGCTCTGTGGTTTGGCCCAGGGCCGGGAAGGAGGGTTTTTTGGCGTCATAGCTAGCGCTTCATATGCCTTTTGTACCTTAAACAGAATTCAAATGAGTCAAACAAAAAACACAACATCCCTAGCTTTAAGTCTAGCATCAGCGATCAGAGAAGAGATCTTATCAATATATTCATTCTACTTTAGTTCTATCTTTACGAGCCTTCTTGACTATCTCCAAGACAGAAGTTCACAGGGCCTAGTGTATACTCGCCTGACTTTAGAGTTACCTACCCCCTAACAGGAACCTATCTCACACCCGTGGTATTCTACCCCCAACCAGCCACGCACATCCTGACCCAACAGCCAAACAAATGAAACAACACAGATTTCAAAGAAATCTAACCCAGCGACACCCTCAACCCTCTAGCCCAGTATAAACCCCATGCGACATTTCGCCCACAGCACCAAGCGTAATAGTAACAATAATAAAACCATCACCACCCCTAACAGCAACCAAATCCCATCCTGACTTCAGTCCAGGCCCCAGGGGATAATAGCCCTCAAGCCATGTCTCCAGTGTTATTTCTCCTGCCTAGCCCAACATGGCTCTGAGGGCATTGCCTGTAGACATCCTTCAAGTCATCTAATTTGTCAGGTGCAGATCAGGTCCGCTAGACCAGGCACCCCTGGGCACCGTACCACAACATCAACCCAGCCTCTAGGCCACATCAGGCCCAAGCCCAACCCAGACCTCAGGGGAACTATATATATCTGATGCCATGACGGCCAGCTATTATCTGCCAGCACAGCCACCGCCACATATATAGGCTACAGCCCCACAGAGCCCACCACCTGAATAACTAGCAAAGACTACAAACAACAGGCCAATCACCGAGGAAACATGGGGTGCAAGATTCGAAGATGAGTGTTAAGCTGCTAAGTTAGGAGGACAGCTCCACTGACACCCAGTAGAACATAGCCAGGCAGGACTCAAATCAACTCACCCGAAGGCCAAGGCAGGGCCACTTCAAGAGACCGAGGCTACCCAAAATGCGGCAGCCAACAGCCTACTCATCCATCCACCCCATCATCATAAGCCCAGGAAGGTAGGCAAATAATATCCAGGCCAAAGGAAACAGGCCCAGAATAGAACAATCATGACAACAAGCTAAAGAACACTCACGACCATAGAGAGTAAGTACCAGCCGAGCTAAGTGAGCTGAAGAATACCACACTTGTAATGGGTGTGATTGCCAAGACCGCTAATGCCCCGCCTAGCTATTACCATAGCCCCTATGCGAGGGAGCCCAAGAGCCAATCACCTACTACTATAACACTCCCAACCATGGAAGTCAAGAGAGGGGGCTAATCGTTCAGGGTCAGAGGCATCCCCACCCATGTCGGGTAGGAAAGTAGACCCCACAACTACCCCTAGCAGTCACATGAACAGAAAACATCGTAGGAACAGGAGGAAAAATATTGCGGGATTCCAATTGAGGGATGTAGCTGACAGCCAGGTATCCCAACCCATAACAGGTAGGACCCGACAGCAAAAGTGTGATGCGATTGGTATAATGAGTTACAGGTACAGAGTAGTCATTAATCGACTCTGTAGGTATTAGTGTCGCTGGAAACAATGCGTGAAATGACCAAAGGGTAGGCCTTAGAACTCCAACATGAAGACTAGCGGGGCCCGATTCTGTCAGCAACAGGGTGATCCCCCCACAATAACTACTTCCAACCAACTCAATGAATGCGAAATCCTGTAAGTGAATGAGCACAGGAAAGCTGAAACATTTTACTGGAGAGAAGACTCGTCAAGTAAATGAGAAGGCCCCTCAGCCCACACAGCCTCATGATAGAGATGAGCTGAGGGGAGGTGTAACAAGTACTACAAAACAAATAAACACCAAACACCAACTCGACCAATATCAACTTCAACCCGCAGGACTACTAGGCAAAGCCAGATGACTCCCCCACTAGTATCGGAAGAATGGCTTTATTGTCGCCATATGGGAACAAAAGAAAGGGTGTCTAAAGGAGATTACCAGATTGCGTACAGAACATAAAATATGAGGGGGTACACCCCCATATATAGAAATAAATCCTCCCTGATTACTAATACAAAAGAAAATACTTGACCTCACAGGCAGCTGCAATGTCTTCACCATATTCCACCGACTTCCATTGTATGGCAACATGTTCCCATCATAATGCAAAGGAAATCCTCCAAATAGCAACCAAGAAAACCACAACTGAGAACTGCAGCCAAAGTCCCATGCATATTTCTGTCTCCATGGCCAGGTAGCCATGACAATTGACTCTGGCAGTAGTAGAGAGCAGGTAGGTCTTAGCATAGTTTCTCCTAGCAGGCTTCTTGTAATGGACAGGGTCTGAGGGTCTATTAGCCTAAGACATACTACTATGAGGGTAGGTAGGAATCTGGAGGCGAGGTCTGGGTGCAGGGGTACAACTGAAGTGAGTTGTATGAGGTGCGGGGTTCAGCGGTTCAGGGTTAGGGTTCAGAGGTTCAGGAGGATGCAAAGTATAGGAGAATGTAATTCCTAGATACAGGTGTCAGAATTCAATCAAAGTTTATTTATCCTAGTCGCTCCACAATCCAGCTTATAATCTACCTAAACATCTCTTGTAACCCATAAAATTATGATCCTCTAAATAACAGCTACCAACTAAAGCGTACATGCCTCCAAGTCCAAACCATTAAACGCCTCCACAAGCGAGCAAACATACAAGCTAAGTACAGTAACCCATTACTGACCCTCGCCTCCTATGCAGCAACTGACAAACCAACTCCCTACCGAATATAAATAGAGCGACCAAAGTCCTTGCTCACGCTAAGCAAGGCCAAGGTAGTTATGGTCTACAACAACCACAAAGTACAAAAAAATATCAAACCCAGTCTGAATACTGTCCTTTAAGCCCAACAAATGAAATCCTCCACAGTAGAAAGTCCCCCACCACAGAGCCAACTCTTAGCCACACAGGGCCCTCAGTCGGATGCAGCCCACACCAACCTGTAAAGACCCGACCAGGTCCCTAGCCACTATGGATTAGTGCCATGCTTGCAATAGGTGTGAGTGCCAATCCCAGCCACAGCTAGGTTCCTAACCAGGATGGCACATATCAGCACCCACAAGGGGAATTGAGAGCTAACCACCCCACACCACCCCAAATAAATCAGAGGAGGGGGCAAATCTCAGGGTCAAAGCCATCCCCACCACACATACGCAGCAAGGAGGAGACCCAAAAGATACCGTAAAGGCTCATGATCGGACTGTATCGCAGGATATGGGTAGACGAAAGAATGAGGCGTAAACAACAAGCAACTAAGTATTCAAACCTTAATGATATAAAACCAAGGAGTCGAAGCCCTCAGCCAACTGTGGAGAACTGTGGAGAAGGGATGTCAGCGAAAGCGAATCCAAGCTATCCAGTCTCAAACCTGTGAACCCATAGGAAACCAGTGATGCAACCCCCCTAAACCAATGAAATAAAAGCAGAATCCACAAGGAAATGAGAACCTCAGGAAAAGCCGCTAACGGTACACGTTAATCGAAATGAAGGTCCACCTGTGAAGCGATGATCATGACCATTAAAGAAGCCCAAAGGAATTCCCAATGGCTCCCAGGCCTGCGGGCAAGGAAGAAGGGGTATCTGAAGGAGATTACCAGATTGCGTAAAGAACATAAAATATAAGGGGGCATACCCCCTTATATAGGAAGAAATCCTCCCTGATCACTAATACAAGAGAAACCCCTTGGCGTTGCATGCAGCCATAATGTCTTTGCCATGTTCTACCGAGTTCCATTGCATGGTAACATATCCCAATCATAACACAAAGGAAATCCTCCACATGGCAACCAAGAAAACTACAACCAATAAATGCAATCCAAGCCCCATATATATTCTGTCTCCATAGCCAGGTGGCCGTGACACTTCTGAATATTTGGTAGAAGTATATGGATGAAACAATTAATGAAAATAGGTTGAAGGAGGAATTAGAAGTGGGAGAGAAGAAATGGAAGTCGGATACACAATGTAGGGTGAATGTTGGTATATGAGTGTCTGCCATTTGATATGTTTCACACTTTTGTCTATTATTACAGGAAAAATATATATATATATACTATGGCCTTAAAGCTACTCACTGGCAGCCACAGTAGCCATTGTCAAAATTCACATCCGGCCGTAGGCCGGTTGCCACTTGTAGGTGTCATAGCTTGCTAGTCTATTTGTAATTATCAACAATAATTCAAATATATTCTGCAATTGTTCTGATATAGTTATTAAGACAGGTTTCTAGTATAGAGATACAAATACAAGTTCTAGCAGTTATGCTGATAGTGTAAGATATATGCAAAAGTGGTAAAATATCTTTGCAGAAGCAAGTGGTCGTAAGGAGGTGAGTCCCAAAACATCAATTAGTTAAGTGTACATCTAGAAACCTTTTTCAAAACATTGCTAAATCCCATTAAAACCCATAAATTATTTCATATACCACATGGCACTCATTGAATTCTTAATTTTATTGTAGGACATCCTACTCAAAAGGTCCTATAAGTGCTTAGCCACGGGGATAGCTCCATGGTCAAGTATAATCTTCCCGGTAGGGTTTCAGTAACACACGCCTACTCCTTCTATCATCGACGGGGAGAGGACGTTCGAGCCACCCACCCCTTACACTTTCCAACTCCTACTTCGCCCTCGTGCGTCCTACGTGCCCTCCTGCCTAACATCCTGTCACACTCCTTGTACTAGCTGAAATTGAACCGAACTGGAACCCGGTTCCATAAAGGGGTTATCTACTTCCAACAATCGATCTCGCACCCGGGCACGAGTCCCCACAATCTCCAAAACATTATGAACCAGGAAAATAAGGTAAAAGTGGACCCCCACTTCTAGCATGCTAAGGCACTAGAACGCCTCCTATAAATACATCAAGGGGAACATGTCGTGCATTCTGATCTGGATTAAAACAAACAATATAAATGGATATAGACAAAAAAGGAAAAAACAATTGTTAATTGGACGCAAAGGTAAACCCTCTCCATCCGCTCAGCTAGGGCCCCTCAATAAGAAGCAAACATAGAGCTCCGCCTGAGGACAAGGCCGAGGTCGTGGATATTATGGTCCTAGAATACTATCAGCCAGTATTACAAAAATAAAACAAACTAAAAAAACTAAGAACCTACGCTGACGATCCCATGAAACCCAACAATTTCCTCAGTTTCAGCACACTCCAAGCTTTTTACATTATGAGGAGACAAATGTATCGGTCGCTCAGGGCACAGTTCAGAGCTAAAGACCTTATTGAGCCGACCGAAATTGGTTTCCATGGACAATCCCACTACCCGGTCATGCTGGTCAAGCCTCTGAAATGCTACCTTAACTTTCTCGATCCGCTCCCCATTCGGACCCGAAATTCTCATCCTTGCAGGCCCTTTGATTTTAACAACCTCCCTATCAGGCCACTCACCCAACGTTACCAAACCCATCCTAGATGTTCCACAGAACCGAAGGCTTTTTATGCCAGCGCGGTCAGACAAGTTGACGAGTGCAACGATTTGGTCGAGCTGAGCAGGATCAAAGAGAGAGTAGGCGCAACCAATTCCGGTCTTCCCAACATATTGTCCCTCCCTTTGAGCCACAAGCGGAGACAGCCAAACTCCGGCCGGAAGTGCCTGGAGATTGCTAAACCATGGCAGTTGAGGATCGGATTGAGGTAATTGTGTGATAGATGGAGGAATCGGGCTATGGGGTCTCGAGTACGCAATGGAGTATCTCCGATGTTGCCGGCACAGTAGCCCTATGGTAGCCCAGTCTATGGTTTCTCCATAGCCTCCGATTTCCTGAGCACGGTTCAGTAATTGAGTATGGGGATCAGGCATCTAGGAACCCACCCTATCCAAGGTTCCATAGATTCCGACGGATTCCAATCCCCTTGGTGGTTCACGGAGTATCACACGCCCGGATCCCCGGCCAAACCATGGCGTCGTCCTACCCTTGTTAGTGCAGAGCTAGGCCGCATCAGTAGTGAACCAGCTATACAGAGTACATTATGTCTTACTGCCAAGGCCTTAAGGCCTTTTTCTGGAAAAAAGATTGACGTAAAGCGTTCCCCTGCCATCAGCTCAAAGGTCAACTCGTAGGCCGAGCGGTGACCAAAGACATTGCTCTCCCAATCGCCTTCCCTCCGGAACAAGAGACCACAAAAATCGCCTCTTTTGTCGACGTACCCCTTCACTGCATCGATTAGTTTTCCTTCCTCCTCGTCGAAGAATATACAGGCGACGGGTGAGGTAGGCTTGATGTCTCGGTCAGCAGTTATATTATCCAAACGACACTTCCACGGAAACTGAAGCATCTCGGAGATGAGTCCTCGGGAAGCGGGTACAGTCTTGTCCGGGGCGTAGATAGGGGCCCAGGAAATCAGTTGATGGTAACTAAAATCAAACTTGATTGCCACAAGATAAGGCGAGGAAACGCGGTATTTCACCGGAAGAGGAAGTCGTCCCTCATTTCGGTTTGTCAAAAGCTATAAAATATTAGCCCCCGAGCACCCCCGCCGGGCCGACCACTGAGCAACATACGTAGATTCGATCCAAAAACTGCTGCTCGTCCCCACCCGTGGATGTGCTCCCTATGGAACCTCGAGAACCCGGTCTCTCTCTGGGGCTAGAACAGGCAGGGTCTCCCCTAACAACCACAATCCCTGTCACTCGTTCGCCGCTCTCATAGTCGATTTCTTGAACATAAACACCATTGCTGACATCCTGCACATATCCGAAGAATCGATCCTTTCCTTCCCCAAAAGAAAATCGCACTCCTTTCATCCTGCCATATATTGTGACCCTGCGCAGTGAACCAAGCTCTATCCAGCCACCAAATTGTGCAGGAGCGAAATCACGGGTGAAAATGCCCATCTCTCCTGGGCGAGAAGCTATCAGCCAATCTTTCGGTGGCGGGCGATCATCCCACACCTGCAGTTTAGAATCAAGGTCATTAAAAGGTATGGAGCGTGGAAGCTCAGTCTCGTGGATTTTATACACATCATCTAATAGCATCAGTCCCAGCTGTAGAAACTTTTGGTCCTTTTCGTCATATAAACAGTGCAAGCCTATGATGTCTCCAGTCGTATCTTTGCGAAAAATTGTTTGGGATTGGCCGTCAATATTAGCTGTTGGGGAAAAAACCTTGTGAGTTCCGAGATAGCGCGGTCCAAAAACCTCACTTGTACGCCCACCTCCGGTGACAAACTAGGGAGAGTCAACATGCAATACTGGATGAGTCGCAGAGGCTGACCTACTAGAATGCCATGAACACACGCGTCGCTATAGCAAATGACAACGGCAGCCACTGATTCTCCCTCTTTAAAACCAATGCTATCCCACTCTTTCGCTCGTTTTGACCCAAGGAGAGACGCGACCCGCCTGTTGCTGCTATGCTCTCTGTACACAAATTCCAACCCTCTGAGTGCGGTATCATCATAATAACCCACAATTTCCAAAAGTGTTCTATCATTCCTGCACAGTTCCTCTGCTCCCTCCTCATGAAACCCATTTGCCCAGATCTCCCATTCTCCCTTGCACATACGCCAATCCATGATGTGAGGCCCTTCGCGCTCGAGCAACTTAACATCCGGTGGTGGAAGTCTCTTCCAGACAGACGCCTCCGCGTGGGTGAGTTCAACCGTTTGAGGTGGAGAAGGCAATGGCCCAATGGCATCCTCACGTTGCAGCTCGGGGGTCTCTTCTAAGACACCGAGTGTCTCAATAAATCCACCAGAGTTAACAAAGCCAATAACACCAACAAGATTCCTATACCGGGAGGGGGCAGTGATCTTTCGCGAAACCCCATTCCAGCGTCCGATCTTCTGGGAAAACGATTTATCGTCATCGAAAACCAATTGTACTCCGCAAACGATACAGCTATGCAAGCAGAAGACAAATCCTGTCAGAATTCTCGAACGTATGTCAACATCCACATAGATACTGCCACGCCTCCCGAATTTCTCCCACTTTTGCACCTCCCGATCCCCGCTAGTCACGAAAAATCCCAGACCACATAGAGGCCCACCCTCACCATCAAGCCAAACCCGAACCACATCTAAAGTAAGTGCCAAATCCTCTCGCAGGGGCTCCCCGGCCTCGTCTTTTATATCCGGATCGATGACTCGTGTACGAGGGCCGAAGTAAACACTCTCAATCAACCCTTGTTTCCCCGTACGCACTCCCACATACCCCCTGACTAGACCAGTCCTTTCTGCAAAGCGCCCGGGCGCGCTATATCTGTGCAGCAAAAATGCAGGCGAACTCTCAACGAGATGATCCGCCATTGGTTTCACGATCTTCCAAATTCTGTTTCGATTCTTCAAACTAATATCCACTGATTCCCATCCTTCTCCATCCTTCGGGGCCATCATCAACCTCCGAAGGCGTTCGAAGCTACCCCGCCAGTCAATTGCATCCAGTACCTTGCGCTCATGTATGGTCTCGTAGTACCCAACCGTCTTGACGAGGGTGGGAAGATATTTGAACTCGTCCCGTAAAAACCTCCGATAGAAGGAGTCGGGAAGGCCCAAATTGTGAGCCGCGGGCGTTGCAGTCTTAAGACTGAATATGTCGGTAGAGGTGAGCATGGCGCAAATCTCGAGGATTATTTCCGGAGGAAGTACTTGGAATGGGTCCATAAGAGCAGCTCTTGGTGCGCATGGCAATGGTTTGTTTGAAACCAGCGGAAGAAGAGGAGAATTACGCACGGATATTGTAGATGGATCAGCAACAAGCCACTAAATAAAACCTATCAGCTACTATCCCATGGGTTCAAGGTAGCCAAGTGACTGACATGAAGCCCGTCTTCGTGTTTCCATTGCCAACCCTCCCCTGCACCCTGACCCTCTCGGTAATCTACTTCTCCCAGCCTAGTAACAATCCAGTCACCCCGCCGCTCTTCTAACAATGCCGCCCACGTAGATTGAGGGACAATGGAACTATCCATCACACCGGTCATCCCCACAAGCCCTCTGAGATAACCCCACAAATCATCCATCTCTATCCGCTCATTCATCTCGTCTAGGCCCCTTTCTTTACCGGCCTCTTCAATCGCGAGGTCCAACATGGTCCAACATTCGTCGTGAAATGGTATCGATGATATAACGTATAGGGCGTCCGGTCTGCCGAGTTCCTGATAGACGTTAAACCCGTAGGTGCCCTGTTGAATCTCTTCATCGGAAAACACGGGGAGCTCGGTGTGTATGTCGGAGCCGTCGCTCTCATCGTGCCCTTCATCCTCCTCCACCGAAGCGAAGGCATCAGCCCAATTTTTCGACTGCCGAATCAAGCCCCTGCCCGTGAGGTAAGCGTTCTGACCGTTATTCAGGTAACGATCGTGATTGAGTGGCTGCCTCCGCGCCCCCCTGTATATGAGGGCGCGGAGGTTTTTGGTCCATTCCATCTGCTGGGTCGAAATAAGCCTCCCATCGTAAGCGCGCTGAGCGGTCCTCCGTTCACCCATCATTCCTCTTCTAAAACCGTCCTTCTCTGCACGGAGCCGCAATTCTCTGCTCCGTTTAGCCGCATGGCTCATGCTGTTAAGCACAAACTCTTCGGGAAGGATCCGATTGTCCTCCGGGTCCAAGTTAAACTCATTCTCCAAGTCGGTATCCACTCCATCTATCGAACGGCCTCCGTAGAATTCGTGATTGTGATCGACATTGTTCGGGGGTGCAGGGGGAACGGCGGTGCGAAATACTTTTGCAAAAGGGCCGCCGCACAACGCACAATAAAAGTGCGTTTCGTATGACCTTGCGCCAGCATCACACATCGCAAAACGCAAAAAAAAAAAAAGTGCCCTCGGGAGAGAGAAGGCTTCTCCCGTCACCCACGTCTGGGTAGGTTTGTTAAAGTTTAAAAAGCTAGGAAGGATAAGCGAGGATGTACAATTCGGAGTTTGTTGGGGGAAGGAAAGAGAGGGAAGAGAGTGAGGGCGAAAAATGTCACTCAACACAGAAAAGACGCGGAAGCGAAGCTGACAGAACACGACACTTTTGAAGGCAATTTTTTTCTTTCCCTTCCCTTACTGGACCCTAAGAAAGGCCGGGGTAGGACGGTACAGGGGCAGGAGGTAGGGTACTTGTGCTTCGTGACGGCTGACGGTGACTTTGAATGATAGAGATGCAGGAGTGATATGGTGAGCGTAGATATTATTGTGGTGGGAAGGCAATGGGGGAGGGCAATATTGATGGAAGGAATTGGACTTTGGTTGAAATTGATTGCTGGGACTGGTGATTCGGTTGTTCCGTCTCAACAGAGGAATGAGTTGCCAGAAATACTTGGGCAGGCACAGCACTATACAAGTACTGTACCGTCCTATCCTAACCTATCGTGCGCGCTGATCTGGTGATGAGAGACGACTGCAGGCTTCAAACGCAACAATGGTATGCCGCACTCTTATCTACCTAGTGGTAACAAACATGTTAACACACATCTGACAACCCCAGAAACAGAGAGGGGGGGTATGGGGAAGAGTTGTAGCGCAGGTTTATGGGAGAAGAATACCAGTAGAGTAGTTTGAGGATCGAACAATAAGGTTAAAATTGAGCGTCCAAAAAGGAACCCGTGATATGGGGAGCGGAAGAGAGGGCGGAAGCCACAAGTGCTCGGGATGCGGAGAGGAACTCGTGGGTTTCTATCCCCCAAAATAACTGCCCACTTTTAAATTACTCGCAGGTAAGTTACCGTAGTAACTTAAAAAAAGGCTCTTTGACGTTCCTCTCGTTAATTCCGGTGCAGAAGAAAGTGCTGACCCTGATCCCAGATCTGGCGGGAGGCCGCGCTGATTCCGTTGTATGCCTAGTCCCTGTTCAGTGGCTCGTCAGAGAGACTGTAAGTCCATATATCATACCCGGAAGTACCCGCTAGATCCTAAAGATGAAAATCTCGGAGGATTGGGCAGTGTGAGAGAACCGTATGCTCGTAAATTGAAGGGAGTCTGAGAATATATTCGGTTCTCGTGGACTCCCCGAGAACGGATCCTCTCTTCCATCTCCCCCCTCCCCGCGCCCGTCCTCCTCCCCAATGAGTACAGTACAGTACAGTACAGAAAAAAAAAGAAAAAAAAAAGAAACACAAACACAAAAGCACCCCTCATTTTATTCCCACTCTACAACCCAGGTACTTGATTCCAGGGTCCAAACCTTCCAACACTGGCAGCCGTGGTGGTGGGTACAGTACCGGTGTGGATGCATTACCGGCATGTTGATAACAGAGAGGTGTGTGTCCCACTCTATCCTACCCTACCGGCACAAGCATTCTCTTGAGGCTGAACGCATACGGTAAACAAATACATGGGGCGTTTCCAGGATGGGTGGGTGCCAAAACTCAGCCCATCTGGAAAATCTTTCCACCTCTCCTTTCCTTCCTCCGTTCCCCATTTCAACCTTTCCTTTCTCCTCTTCTCACTGAAATCCATCTTTCGTTCCCTCCTGGATATGTCCATTTCGTATGATAGGAGCTCGATCACCGTACCGTAGCCACATGGAAAGCTTGGACATGTTTTGTTGGTGCTTACCGCATTTATTCCCCCCACACCATGCTATCCCCATGTTTCGCGTGTAGGGTTGGACGATATTATATGCCCGTGAGTGACGGCCCGCGTTGTACGGTAGTGGGAAGGGCCTTATACGAAGCTTTCTCCCTCCTCACGGCAAAAATCGGACCTGCACGCCGTGCTGGAACTGATGCTGTTATCAACCTCTCGTTTATCACAAGCGTGTGGTGATTGAGAATGGAATTACTCGTGCCATGATCCTAATAAACCGGCAGATTTCTGAGTTCGTAAGGCTGCCCTGCTTGCACCTCTTTAGACTAGCACTGTAGTCTAGTAATGGAATTCCTATCTGACCACTAAGTTACTCAAGTACACTCGTGCAGTACAGTACTGTACTCACTTCGTCCTGCAACGCGAGTACGGTACAGTACTAGAGCATTAGCAAAGTACTCGCACATTCCTGTACCGTATTGTATTTGAGTACCGGTACTGACGGTATAGCCATTCAAGGACTAGGGGTCATCGCCTACGTCCTGGATCTTGAATCCTTGTGAGGTCAACTCGAGTATCGCACCCGATACTACGCCAATACAAGTACCCGTACGGCAGTAGCGCTGCCCCAGTACTAGTATAGTGCCTCCCACAAGGGCCAGAAATCTGCATCCTATCCTCACCGGCACACGATACATGATTCTGGTCGCGAAAGCCGATCGCGTTACCTGCCATTCATCCCAAGACATTCATCCCAAGAATAGGCCGGTAATGTGTACAGTACAGCACAGGCACAGGGAGAACACCGCATGAAGTCTCGTTTTCCGCTAACAATGCGCTCACTTTTTCCCCAGGAACGGAAAGATTTTACTGGAACAGCAGCATTGGAGTACTATTCCCCACACGGTATGTTCGCCAGGTGCTACTTCTTCCGCTATCCAGCCTGTTCCCAGGTTTCACGCACTTATACTACTCAGTGCTGTGCAGGAGACGGAGATTTCAACGCAAAATCTAAGGATAAATAAGGAAGGCTGCAAATATCGACCACAGCCTAGCCCATAATTCCTTGTGGCGGATCTGTTCGGCACCGGTTAGCAACGCGGTTGGTTCGAGTTCTTGGAAACCTAGCGGTGCTCGAGTGCGAAGGAATTGTAGCCCCCAAGCGCTCGCACCTGCAGTATCAAGGATCGGCCATTCAAGTAGATAGTTGGTCCTGCCAGAACTGGCTAGTGGCATACCTACCGTACCCACTCCCGCAATTTGACCTGGCGCAAGAATATCTGTCCCGCCCGGAGCGATACTCTGAGAATCTCAAGGAAAGCAGCGGTTCCCAGGATGTCATAAGAACGATATAGAAAAATCCTTCAAAAGAGCACAACGACTTTTTTTAGCTCCATATTCTACTGTACCCGGGCGTCATAAAGTACCCTGCCCAGTGAAAATATTTCCTATGATACGTTGCCTGCGTGAAGTAAATTTACCAAACTTTGGTGATGGGTGCGGGAAAGCATGCGGGGGCACTCGTACTCGTTCGTATCCGTCAGGCCTAGGGCAAGCCCAGCGGTGCTGGCGCGGCTGCATTGAAATCCCTCTTTGATTGAGTTTATGCGCATGAAAGATAAACCCCCATCCAACTATTCCGGCAGCAGCGCAGAGGTTTGGTCCTCTTCAAAACGCCGACTATCTATCTCGAGTCTTCTGTACCCCCTACCTGGTGCGTGAGATCATCGGTAGAAAGTGATGTGCTGCTCAACATAGCATCTCAAATGGCAGCTCGAAACACAAGGAGAGACCCATCCCGCAAATTCCCCGCTTCTCCACAGGAAAAAACTAGTAACCAACATACCGGCTCGAGTATCCGTCATGACTTATGCGCTCTAGGACAATGCCAGTGAGCGATATCCCTTTGGTAGTGTGAAACACCGTGAGAGTCGTTGTTAGCCCGCCAAACCGAAATCCTCGGCCGTACAGTATCAAACACCCCCTCAAGCGCCCAACCAACTCCGCACTGGGAGGATTGTGGATTTCCGCGAACCGCGGAGCCAATCCACCCCACGCGAACGGATCCGGCTCAGCCCGCCCGGCAAAAATGAATCCAACAGTCCCCCAAGCGATACCAGTGGGCCAATCTCGGCGTCTAAGTTGGATATCAACCACTTGGGAAGTTATACACGCACACGCTACTGGCGCTAAGTGCATGCAGTTGTCAATGTTGGAAACCTGTTGCACTGACCAATGAAAACTCGGGGCGTGAAGCCAGACAGCCACCATGCTTGTACTCGTATCATGTCGGCGATCCTTGCAGAGAGTGTGGGGGTGCTTCGAGTATGGGTAAATTGGACTCGCCATGATTGCAACTATTTTCTGCACAACTGCTCACGTAAGAGTTAAGATACCGGTACCTTAGCGTCGGGAGGGATTCTGGGCTATCGCGACACAGTTAACGTCGAATCACACGACCTCGACACTTGGTGTCCGCATCAAATGCGCTAGGTAAACTCAGTATCACAGCACCTCACTCGAGAATCATTGGATCAATGTGTTGTGATATAGCAGGGGTTGTCAGGGGCTTCCTGATAACCTCATGCAAGGAGCAATCTAGACGTATGCGAGGAGATGTGAGGAATGGTATGGATTGGGGGGAATGTAGCCACCAGATGGATATCCGGTCGGTTGGGTTTTCTATAGTATATAGTGGTCATCCACCTTGGCGATAGGAAGGGGGTCAATCAAGTCAATTAACTGTTAACAATTCTTGCTCACAAACGATCATAAACTCTTTACAAAAGTACCTAACTGAATTCTCCTCTCTACTTCACAATGTTTGAGGTGGTGCTTCTCGATCTGTGAGTTCAAAAGTGAGCCTGGTGGTTGCGCACGCCCACCGCGAATATGACCGCCAGTTTCGCTAGTCCGTAACGATACAAACCATTAAGACCCATCCAAGTATACTTTACAGTACTCTTCACTAGAAGTTCCGCTCCATGACTCCTTTCCTCCGTGAAGTACCTGGTGGCTTCCTGCAAGAATATCTGCAAATAGTAAGGTGGCATCAGGGAAGATACGGGGAGGGGACATTTCAGAGATATCGTGATAGGGCCAGCAAGTCTTCTGGTGTGCAAAGATTCCAGCAGGATCTTCCGCACCGGGAGCGGAGGTAAGCCACGGGACCACGGTTTAGGGCTAACTTAGTGTCCATGGGCTTCACAATTTGGAACTCATCCCACTGGAAGCCCGAGATAGCGCCTCGATGACACATGAGGGATTTGGGGCTCCTCTAGAAATCATGAATCCTCAGGCTCCACGATTCGACCTCACCACCATCAAGCC